GAACAAGGGTCGAGAAAGCTCGACAGAGCGCAGCTAGCTTACTGGCTTCGGTCCTTGTTCGGGATGTCGACGGGATGCAAACTAGAGTCGATAAAGATCGGCAGAGCACAGCTAACGTACTGGCTTCGGTCCTGGTTTGCGAGGATGTGATCGTTGGCAGGTTTAGGAAGCAGATACGAGTCGGTCGTAGGCCTTGCTCTCCGCTGTGTAGCATCGAGTTCGGTTGACGGTCCGGATCGGTCTGGTCCTGATTAATTCGGCGTCGCGGATTATATACTTGACGCTTCTTTGTCTCCGCGCGTCGTACACGTGTGCGTCGCGTGCTCGCGGCGCTCGCTCGCTATTGTTTCCGCTGTGCTTGATTTCTCGCGTGATCTTCGCTCGCTTTGTTTATACTCGTTATCGTGTTTTGTTTGTCGGTCTTTCGGAGTTTTATTGTTGGCGCAACGCGCCGGTGCACGGCCCGACTGATGGTCGGTCGGGCCGGAGTAGTGACGATGCAGGTGTGCATCGTTACAACCGATTCAAAATCTACTTGCACAGCTGTATTTGTTATCTTTTTATATCGTATTATGCAAATCTTCAGGAAGCTAGGAAGCTCCTGTGTCACTTTTGACTTTATGAGTACTCAACAATTTTCTAAGTATAAAAACGAATCTTTTCCTGTCGAAAATGTGTAATTTGTATCCGATTTTGATGAACTCGGTCAAATTGTCTTCGTAATTAGCGCGCGATCTCCTATACCCAGTCTCATTAATCCACAATAACCGGAAGTTCATTTTGTTACAGAAAAACAAGTTTTGACCTCGAGAAATTTTTTCCCACTCACCATGATAACCTACATCAGCGCTTCAGTATTCAAGTATCTAATCATTGTAAGTACGCTAATATTATTTTTAATCGAGCCTATCACTATTAACAACAAAGTTGACTTTGAACTTCTATTGTGTAAAAAGTTAGTCGAACTATCACCGCTGACAGTGCCTTTTATTTTATATCTCCGCCAATAATTGACCGATTTCATTGCTTCTTGGACGAGCAAGTCCGTAATTATGTCTATTTCATGGAGAAAAATCGTCGGCATCCCCGACGTTACTGTTTAGAAATGTTCCAAAATAATCTATCGTCAATTTACATTATCGGCACTTTGCAATTTTCAATTGCTTATAACTTCGCTTCTAATGAACGGAATTGAACTCACGATAGCTCGTTGAATCCGTAATGGTCCAGTTAACAAGTACTATTCATACAAGCACTCCTAATTACCCTAGAAAACCCTAGCACTGTATGTAAATTCACCCGTCATTTTTACTTATTACACGCGCACTGACAATAGAGATTCTAAGTCCTATCACTGTTAATTTTGGCACAGTAATTACTCGGAATAATTAACGCGTTCCTATATATATATATATATATATATATATATATATATATATATATATGTCTTTTTCGAAAAATATCATCTAACACCTTAAACATAAATCTTACGGGTATATGTGGCGGTTCGGCAGCTCCCGGATGTGCGTTCGTTGTTGCGCGGAGCGCAGCAGCCGACACCTCGCGTCGGGAGACGGAAGCAGGTGCTGCAGCCGCGGCAACTTTTCTCGGCCGCGCCGCCAGAGCTCGTGCGTGCCGGGTTTTAGAGAGAGTGCCTGCGTGGCGCTTTTGTTCAGACTCGTTCTCGCGCCCGTGTAGTGTACAAGTCGGAGTTCGTCCGTTCCGTTCGTTCTCGTTTTCGTTCTCGTTTTCGCTCGTCGTGCAGGCTGTGCGCCGCAATGTCTCTCGCAACGCGTTCGTCGTGATACCGCACTCAGAGGCTGTAAGCGCGTGCGGGTGTTCCGCGCCTGGCTCAGCCAACGTGGCTGAGAGGCCCTTAAGGGTCGTCGTTCCGCGACCGCTCGTTCCGGTGTCCACGTGTTGCACACGTGCTGCGCACGTGATCGTCCGCGTTCTTATGCGCGATCCGTAATACACGGTTATCTGATGCAGCCGCCCGCCGCGTGTTCGCGGAGTTGAGCCTGCATCGACATACGACATCGTCGTCGTCGTCGCGCCGACGTGCTCGCGCTACTTCGCGCCACGGCTGGTCAAGCGTAGCCGTCGTTTTTGCCTCTCTCGTGAGGCACCTTTGTTTCGTGAGTGTGCGTGCGCTTCGCGAGAAATTGTTACAGCTCGGGGCTCATCGTGTCGCCCACGAGCCCGGTCGCCGCGTGCAGCGGAGGCAGGTGCACATTTCCCTATTAGATTCAAGTATTAGTTTTCGGCCGGCCACGTGCACCGGCCATGCTACCTGCCCTCGCTCAAGTGCGCGCTTCCACCGTTGTTCACGTGATCGGCTGAGGGCCGACGTCTCAGCCAATCACAAGTGTATCTTCACGCTGTGTCCTTCACACGTCAGCGTGTCTCTGTTTTGTTTCGCACAAGCGTTTCTTTTACATGTGATAAGATTCCGTCTTCTTTGTTAACTTTGTAATAAACTCTGACGATGTGTTCGTGCTGAAACGAAAAGGCGAATCTAGCGTATTACCAGGACCTGAGCGCCCTCCTATCCACAGAGCTTTCTCCCGATTTTTCTTAATTTATTATTGTTGTGGCTGTGGCCGAGTGGAGTGGTTACATGCGAGTGCACCTTCTGACATCTAAAGTAACACACCCTCCACAAAGCTGGAGCCCACATATATATACATATATT